TAAAAAGGTCAAGGTCAGATCAAGAGGTCATGAAAAACTACCGGCCTGTATCTAATTTACCGTTTGTCTCCAAAATTCTCGAGAAAGTTGTTGATTCCCAAATTGAAAGACACACTGAACATAAACTTCATGAAGAGCGTCAGTCTGCTTATAGGTAGTTTCATTCAATAGAATCTGCTCTATTATGTGTACAAAATGGCATTCTCCGTTCTCTTGATCAGAATGAAGCTACTGTTCTAGTAATGTTGGACTTATCTGCTGCTTTTGATACGATCGACCATATTACCCTTCTTTGCCGGCTCGAACAACACTTCGGAATAGTAGGCAAACCTTTACAATGGATAAAATCGTATCTGTGTGAGCGTCATCAAACTGTCTGCGTCAATTGTGAACTGTCAAAACCCGACATTTTCTGTGCCACAAGGGTCCGTTCTTGGTCCGAAGAGTTACATCATGTTCACCAAACCTGTGGGCGCGATCTGTCGGAAGCATCAACTTCAACATCATTTCTACGCTGACGGTTCGCAATTGTACATGGCATTTAAACCAATGGATGGAAGCCATTTCACGCAATGAGACCTTGCGATGGATTGAAGCATGCCTGAATGACATCATACTATGGATGAATAATAAGTTTTTGAAACTCAATGCGGATAAAACAGAGGTGATTGTCTTTGAAACAAAAGCGAAGTGACGTTGACGATCTTACTACGAGGGATGATCAAAAATAAACCGGACTGTGACTGTCAATTGAAGAATTTTCAACCTATCATTTATTGTTATATATCACACTTAATCGGAAAACAATACCTGTAAACTGATGCTTTATTTAATCTGATAACGAAAAAAACTTGTCCGTAACAGCGAATTCAAAAACCATGGTAACGCACACCCGGCGCAGTGCGTAAATTCGCCTTGAAATCAGGCGCTTTAAGCTGCGTATATTTTGAAATATGACACATTTAGATTTCAAAATACGCCAAAACGTCATGAACCATATCTTTAACGTTGTCAGTAAAAATGACTTCATTTAAATCATATTTATATTCGCAATCACAATTCAAACGTCACATGTTAATGAAAAACTCCCGTTAAAACTATGTCGTCGGAATGTCTCGAAAATCGATCAATAAGAAAAAATTGTCAAAAGTAAGACGAGAAACTGTTTAAAACGTAGAAAAAGATTATGGCTATCAAGTGGAAAGTTCCAGAAAGCCACAGCATATTTTTTGATTAGCATAAAAGATTAAGGATGTGTAATAAAGAAATAGAAAACAAGTAAGGGAGAGACAGAAAAAAGAAATTTTCATTGACGATCGCCAAGACGTTGAAAAATGACAGTCGATTGACTGCGGACATTGTCAACGATGTTCGACAGTAGCTACGGGACGGTGCAGTCAACTCTAAGGATTTTAAAATGATAATAGTTAATGCATTAATTACATATATTGTATTCTTGGTTTACAATTGTTTCAATTATTTTCTTATTTTACGCAGTAGTTTTTTGGAGAAATTGTGTCAACAATTAGACAGTCACTGTTCAAAATCGGCTATGCTTTTTATTCATTTTAAAATAATGACAATTTTGTTCATAGTTGTATTATTCTTTTATTTTTTCTTATGTATGATACATTATCATTCAGCAACATTATTTTACATTATTTGTAATACATAATATAGTTTATTGCATGTGCAGTTTTTCCAACAATAAAGTTACAAGAGGAAAGAACGGAAATTTGTGTCATTACATTGCGTCATTTTATCATCATCCATTCTTTTACAATACAATATGATACCCACTTGTACAGAAATATTTATAGGCAGTGGATCCGCCGCATTAACAACATGACTGTACCACTTATTGGCCTACTCCGTGAATGAGTAAAAACTGTTCTGTTAAGGAAAATACGCTTGTGACGTCGTTAACGTCAATTTCAAAGTTATACCGTGCGCCGCATTGCTTTACATGTACATGCCAATAACAGCATAACTTTTTTATTTGTTTATATTTCTTGTTGGTATTTTTGTATCATTTAGGGGATAGATTCCGATTTATGTTCCATGTATTTTTATGTAAATTCATTTAATAGGTTAAGAATCATTTACAAAGTCCTGTTAATTTTTGATCATCCCTCGTATAATAATCTGGAAACAAAATGATCCCTCGGAAGCATTAATCACAACAAAATTTCACAAGAATTGCAGACTCGGTTTGAAACTATAAGAGTCGGTGATTCTGTAATAAAAACATCAACAACAGTTAGAAACCTTGGCACCGTACTGGACTCTCATTTAGACATGGAACAACATGTGCACTCAGTTTCTTGTTCATGCTTCATGAACATTCGACAAATAGGTTAAATTCGGAAATACTTGACCGTTGATTCAACCAGAACCTTGATTAACTCGTAAGTGACATCAAAATTAGATTACTGTTATTTGTTGCTATATGGATCTCCAAAGTACGTTCTCAACAAGCTCCAAAATGTACATGATACGGCTGCTCGTGTTATTACCAGGACACCGCGAAACTGCCACATAACCCCAGTTTTAAAGGAACTACATCGGCTTCCTGTGCACATCAGAGTCGAGTACAAACTCCTTACATATGTGTTTAAGGTGCTTTATGGACAGGCACCGACGTACATACGAAACATGCTAGACATGTATATCCCATCCAGACAACTTAACTCTGGAATGCCCTACCTACAACACTTAAAAGCTATGACATTCTAACAGTGTATAAGAGAGCACTTATAACTCACTGATTATCTTTTAGGTTCGCTTTTTCTTTTTTCTTTTTTACCAATTCTTAAGTCAAACCTGTATTTTATAATTTAAGTTGGTCTTTTTTAAACTTTTTAAACTACATTTAATTTGAATTTATAACTTGAGCAATATTGATGTTTTAATTTGTTTTGTAAATATTGTATCCTTTATTTATTAATACTGTACAGTACTTTTGAACGTGGCAATGTGCATGAAAAAAATTCTTAAGAAGTTTGGAATATAATAATAATAATAATGATAAATATAATAATAATTATAATTATAATAATATTGAATTAGTATTTGTATGGAAAACAAAATACTACATTGTTTACATTTTGCTACCTTTACGACACATAACTGCACATTCTGCTATTTTTTCAGTTGTAAAATCATTTTACATGTTCTTAACCCATTATTAAAACATTATTCAACAAATGTTTGACGAATCTAAAGAATTTTTAAAAAAGATTTCTGAGGCATAATGTGCGTTTAATGAAAAAAAATAGTAATATGACGCATATAAATAAGGATATTGTCATGAGTTGTTTATAAATACAATTTCAAATATATAATGACTTGAGTTCTGAAAATATAATACAAACTATCCGTCGGCAGTTGTCATGTGTGGATCGTTTCGGGACTTGCAGATTTTTGATTTATACTTTTCTGTATTCCTAACAAACACCTGAAAAGAAATTTATTGTTAAGAAGCGACTTTCTATAAAAAGGACACTACATTAATAATTAACAATTCTGTGAATCAATTTTATTAAGAAACTGTAAAGATCCTTTGTTATTTTGATAAACTTATTAAAGTAAATTCGGTGATTGGCAATGACATTTGAATAATGTCAACGTAAGTTTGTTTCTCACAAGCAACTATTATCAATAGAAAAATGAATTTTAATATTATCTTTGTTTTGTCAATATAGTCAATGTGCCTGTAATATAGAGCTTTTGTGTTAAATAATGTGTTTTCTCAGAAAAGACAAACAAACAAGTTTCATGGAGTTCCAAATCTACTGATTCAAATACATAATTACTATAAAAACGATTATAGGGACCTAGAAGGATGTTTCCTTTTTTATCGCCTTTCGTTTATACCCATAATCAATCATTCGTATCGCAATGATGTTTTTATTGATCAAACAAGCAAACAAAGATTTTGAGAATTTTTATTTAATTCCAGATTTGTTTTATGAAAACAGGTTTGAATAGTTTAAATAGAATCTTATTATTTCAAACCATGGTTATGTTTTTGACAACGATGTGATTTATTTTTAAGACACTTGGGCTGATAAGGTTGTGAGTCTTATACGTAACTGCTTGACTACTGGCGGACATACGGCATTTTCTCAACAATATATCATTATGTATCTATTCATTTGCCACTGATGTTAAAGAACCTCAGTGTCATTAAAAAAATTTAAAATGCACACATCCGATCTGTCCTAAAGTTGTATCAGGAAAAAAGTTTTGTTTTTTTTTTTCAATTTGAAAGTCTCATGAAGCATCTTTAGGCATAATAGGGCAAATGTGTTATCTATGACAGACTTGTGAGCATTGTCACAAGCCATTGTCCTGGACGGAAAATAACATTTTTTCTGTCTTCTGTCATGTCTGTTGTGCATAAATTTAACGATTTTTTTGTTTTTTTAATTTCCAAGAAATCTCTTATTGTATTATTGTCCCTTTTACAGATAGCCGATAACCTCCCCAGAGAAAACTATCATTCTACCAAAATACTAATACTTTCCAGTTGAACAGTTTTCTCCCTATATTGTTTGGGTGATCTAAGGTGCTTCACTTATTGTAGAATGCTATTTGGCATATAGGGTGAGATGTTGAACAAATGTGCTATCCAAAGTAACAAATCTCTCCAGAAGGAACTGCCGCAATAAGGTTCAGATGAGCTCACGATACATTCCGTCTGTCGTATATCAGATAAAAAACGAATTGCGAGCTCTATCATTTCAAAGTCTTCAGTTAAACATGGAAAGTTATATGTTCTGTGATATACCCATAGTCATGGCTGTACAATTTTTATGTTACTCGCGGAGTTCCATTTCACAAGAGTCACTTGCCTTGCTCAGTGTCTTCTAAGAAGACCTTTGAAAATCCAGAGGATAGTAAAGCTGACAACGGTATCCCTGCGTATTGCGTTCAATACAAAATTAACAACGGATCAATAAGGCTTCCTTGTGTGTATGTAACGAAATAAATCTTACCTTTATTTCTGGGAAGGAGTAGTTTATCCAGATTGTGTCTTCTACTGTATCAGCAAATTCAAGTCGCAGGAGAAATTCGCTGTGATCGTCATAATTGTGATCCGAGGTTACTATTGTAAAGTTGAATTGAGTAGATGGGTCCCATACATCTCCCATAGCCAGTGTCTTAAATGATAGTTATTGCCAAATGTTTATTTCAATATTTTACTTATAACAAGATCAAATGGTATCAAAAATTAAAAAGCAAAGATTGTAGCATAATATATTTTATTGTATATATTGATATAATAGTTTTGACGGTTAATATTTACATTATATATAATTGTATTTCTTTTATTTACAGTTCATACATCCCAGGGGGAAATGGCATTGACACGCGCTTAGAGCATATATTATCTTGGATGGGGTATCTTGAACTATTTCCTATTTAAGTAAATTTAGCATATTACACTGAAGTGCACAAATGTTAATTTGAACTAAGCAATCCGCCACATGTACGTAGACTTATAACTGGTCACACTATGAGTTACATAAAGCTGAATTTCATTAGTTATCTTCAAAAATAAAAAAATTAACAACATAAAGATAATGCATGCTGTACTAATTATAGTGTAATAGTGTAGTGCTTGCCTTTATGTCTTGTGCACATAAATGATTTCCATTTTCCTCAGGTTTCTTGTTAAGTACTGATTCCCTTTCACATTGCAATGATTTACCATTATTTACGAAAATATTCATTCCTAACGTACAAAACTCCGTCATATCTTTTTCTTTGGCTCTGAAAAACTGACAACCGATTGGAACTGTCGATTGCATTTGTACCACTGCCTCTCTTTCTTTATCAAGATATATATTAGAATCACGAATCTGTTAAAAATAAGAATTGATCGAGAAATTCAGATAGATGTTTTTTTTTTGTCATATATATATTTTTTTTTTTGGGGGGGGGGGATGTAAAAATTACATCGTTGACTCACAGTGTCGATTTTATTCTATACAATATTTAACGTTTGTAAAACTGTTTCAAGTTGTCTATATAAATGTCTGCTGTATATATATTATCTAGTTTCCTAATTGCCATCATAATTTAATAAAGTAAATGCGCAGTATTATAAATTTATTATAAAAAAGAATAACATATTATATGGTGATGTAACTTATTTTCATTTGTGTATGATATGTTTGTAAAAATGTAATACCTACATTTTCTATTCACATTATACATACATACAAACTGCTATTAAAAGTCATCTTATTTCAGTTAATGATATCAAATTATTATTATCATTTACTTTAACAATGATGCCTAAAATATTGTAAAAAAACACCTTGATTCCTGCGTAAAACGTTTCACCCTTTTTTATAGCGGAAAGCATACCATCTACACCAATAGAAGCGCTTACTCCACATCTTATCTAATAAAAAAGAAAATTTAAATAGATTATATCTCATGAGCTATATTAATACATTAAACTTTATAAGGTTAGTCCAGAAAAAAAATTAAAGAAAATGAAAAACGATAAACGAGCAAGCATGTTTGTATAGATCGTTTCTCGTGCGTGTTATATCAATGAATCGTTAAACAAATGAGATTTACATTAAAATGAATATTACAAAATAAACAGAAATGCCTTACATTAATTCCTAGAGAAATGTGTCTCGATGTCAATTGTTCTTCTTTTAAGATTAGATCAGACATATCTTTGCTTGGACCCATCGTCTCGTTTAAAGGCGTTTCATCTATATACCTGTATAAAACCCACTTTTTGAGTTCAAAAGAACTAGATTGCAAAGTATATCGAGGGGTGAAAGCGAAACGGTTCTAACTCACTTTTTTACAAAATTCACTTTTTTATATACTTGTAACATAAACACACATATACATCTTATATCACAATATATTAGATTTAGTTTACTTATAACAGGGTGAAATAAAAAAGATTGTCCAAAGGTTCTAAGTGAAATTAACCTTTTTTTAAAAAAAGCGAAAAGGTTCTAACTGCAAATGACAGTTAGAACCTTTTCGCTTTCATTGTGTATAAATGTACAAGATTAAATAAAACCAAATCAAACTGCATTAAAATAAGGGAGATCAAAGCAATTTTCGAAGCTAAACCTTTTATTATATTATTATTGAATAATATCACGTAAAAAATTCAGTAGTTTCAGAGTAGATGCGTTGATTTTGGAAGAAAACTTGTTAATTTTGGAAGAAAACTTAAGTACTTAGAACTGTTTCGCAGTTAACTCCACTCATGAAATTATCGATTTTTTAAAAGGTAAACAGTTCTAAGTGTACAAGGCCAGTAATTATCATACACTATCTTAAAGGGTTTTAAGTGCCTGTGAGAAATTGTGTGATGCTATTGAAGGTAGGGCTATAGATGACGGTAAGAAATCAAAAGAATTACGGCAATTTGCAATGATTGGACTTGTTGGTAATAAAACCCGTCCCCATTTCCTTCCTGTCCAGTCTTGCATAAGGATTATTCAGAAAATCATCATGAACTTGCTTGTGGTATTTTTAGTTTCAACTTTTCGGCATTTTCTAGTTGGGTGGTTCCAATATTCCTACTTGAATAATGTTGAATCACCCTTAGGATATGTTGCCTGCTTTTTAAATTTGTCTTTTGACGTCTTATCTGTGATACGCAGGCTTCATAACCTCTGATTCCCTTACAAAATTCTATCTTATTTAGTTCCGCCCATTGTTTTCTCGTTTAGGGCACATGTATTTTTTTAATTGGGGACCACACGCCGCTTTTCATGGAATGGCACTACTGTGTCACATTGAAGGTTCCATGATAACCGCCGTATGAACGCATCTGCGGATGTTTCTAAATTCAAAATTTTACTATTTCATGTTTAAATGTTGAATTCTGCTTAAGCCGGTGCTAGGGGGCGTGGACGGTAACTTGCACTTTCCAGTACCGTCCATGAACAGGCTCAATCAAACCGAGCCTGCAACATTTTCAATTTTGCCGTGTTGGGCTTTCTTTAGGGATTCCGTATTTATCTTTTTTTTATTAAATAGGAGAAAATATCATTTAGAATTATATTAATGAAATTTATGTATCAACGTTATCATTTTTGCATGTTTTCAATCCAATTGGGTTCTACCGGGCTCTGCCGAAATCGTCCTGGGTTCTACCTTGGTGAACCGGGGCTCTGCCAGCGTCATTCAGAGATGACCAGGTAGGCACCGACATGAACCTGTCAGCTTCACCTGGGCTCAGTCTGGATGGTTCGGGGGACATCCTGGGTGTAAGCTGGGAATTACCGTAGTGCTGCCGGGGTAAGTATGACAGCAATAAAAAATCCCCCCCGGATCATCCCAAATCATCCCAGTAACTTACCTGAGTGGTCCTTGGCTCTGCCAGGAATAAGTGAGACCACAACTTTAGATGACGATACAATCAGGTGATGTTCTTGAAAGTGAGACTACAGGTGATAGTGAGATATTTAGAATGGTTAAAAGGGATTTTTTGATGATAATCAGAAATCTGGGTATGATAAGGTAGGAAAGGTTATAGACAAAATTACAAGATATTGTGACTTTGATATATTGGGCATTGCAAATGAACTTGGAGCTATGTGTGAGTCCAAGATACTGAGTTGTGTAAATATAGCTAGTGGTATATGTGACACTGAAATATTAAGTAACGTGAATGAAATTGAAATGTGTGCCTATGAGATATTGAAAAATGTAATGTAGGTGGAGCTATGGGTGACTTTGGTGAATAAACAATGTAAATGAAAATATAGTTATGGGTCACACTTATGCAAATGATCGTGGCCTTTGGGACTTGGCCTTGAGACATATCATCTCTTCTATGTATTGTTGCTACATGGGGGTGTCTCAAGTGTATTACGCATATAATTAAAAATTTGTGCAAGTCATATGTAATGCACTATTTTTAAAATATATTTTCAGTTCAAATATATTCTGGGACTGTTTGTGAAACTGTTTATTGCAAAGATATTCTTGCACTTTGAATGAAGTTTCAGACAAGTCCAAAAAGTTTTTCAGAGAATATTGTTCACTATCATATGATTTAAGAAATAGCTGTAATTTCATTGGTTCAAACAGTGATAATCAGAACAAATTTTAAAATCATATTCACTGGGTGTGGTATCATATTCAATGGCTGAATCAAATTTTCCCTATCTAAATTAGAATCAAACTCATATTCTAAATAACTGTACAGCATGGGGATGCCAGATAAGTTGCGTCATTTGAGTGCATTTTATTAAAGTGTCATTTTTCACATTTTAGAATAGAACTATGTGCTAAGGATGACCTCATTTAGCCGCTTATAATATTTAGGTTGTTTAAAATTAAATGCATGCACTAAATTGTAAGAAATTAGTTGTGGATGAAATGACATTAATTTCCATGAATAAATATCTTATTGAAGGTAACCATTTTAAATACGAAGGAATATGAATGTTACTGTTTTATTTTGAATATTAAATAATATGACAGAAAATGCAAGAAAACAAGAGCTGTCACAGGAGACAGCAAAGCTGGACTAATCAAATTCTGGACGCAGTAAGGAAGACGAAACTATGAATGAACAAGGGTGCCATAGTCACAAAATACGCCCGTTTACGAAAGCTTTAGGTGGAGATGGGGGCATTATGGATAAGTGTTATCTAGCAAGCAAGTTTTTTTATTTTTGGCACTGTGTTGTTAAATGAACCTTAAAACAAATCAGTAGGGAAGATATACACAGGATGTGTGACCTTGACCTTGGCTGCAGGGACCTGAATTTTATGCACGGCACTCAGCCTCACAATGATGAACATTTGTGCCAAATTATATTGAAATCCCTCTATGCATGTAGAAGTTTTGCTCCAGACAAGCATTTTTCTATGAGCTCTAACTGTGACCTTCACCTTTGACCTAGAGACTTGGTTCATGTGCAGGGCACTACGTCTCATGGTGGTGAACAATTCTATGAAGTAACATTAAAATTCCTCCATGCATGTAGTAAATTTGCTCCGGACAACATCTGGATATTTAATCATCTCCAGTGACCTTGACCTTGCAAATATTAACCTAAATTAAATGTGTCACACCTGTAGTCATGATAGTTACCATTTGTGCTACAATCCATCAATAAATGATGACTAAATGGTCCCTATACACATCTTCAAATTTTTATCTGAACTTTGACCTCTATGTGTAACCTTGACTTTGGTCGCAGGGATCTGAATTTTGTGCGCGACACTCAGCCTCACAATGGTGAACATTTGTGCCAAGTTATATTGAAACCCCCCTATGAATGTAGAAGTTTTGCTCCGGACAAGCGTTTTTCAATGAGCTCTAAGTGTGACCTTGACATTTGACCTGGAGACCTGGATCATGCATGGAGCAATACATATCATGGTGGTGAACATTTCCATAAAGTATGATAAAAATTCTTCCATACATGTAGGAGATATGCTCCAGACAATATCTGGATATTTCACCATCTTAAGTGACCTTGACCTTGCATATATTGACCTAAAGTACATGTGTCACAGCCGTAGTCATGATAATGACCATTTGTGTTACAATCCCTCAATAAATGATGATTAAATCGTCCCTATACATATCTTCATATTTTTATCTAAACTTTGACCTCTATGTGTGACCTTGACCTTGGCTGCAGGGACCTGAATTTTGTGCGCGACACTCCGCCTCACAATGGTAGACATTTGTGCCAAGTTATATTGAAATCCCTCTATGCATGTGGAAGTTTTGCTCCGGACAAGCGTTTTTCAATGAGCTCTAAGTGTGACCTTGACCTTTGACCTAGAGACCTAGTTCATGTGCGTGACATGGCTTCTCATAATGGTGAACATTTCTATGAAATTTCATTAAAATCCCTCCATGCGTGTAGGAGATATGCTCCGGACAAAATCTGGATATTTCATCATCTTTAGTGACCTTGACCTTGTATATATTGACCTAAATTATATGTATCAGAGCCATAGTCTTGATAATGACCATTTGTGTTACAATCCCTCAATAAATGATGACTAATGGTCCATATACACATCTTCATATTTTTATCTGAACTTTGACCTCTATGTGTGACCTTGACCTTGGCCGCAAGGACCTTAATCTTGCGCGCGATACTCCGCCTCACAATGGTGAACATTTGTGCTAAGTAATATTGAAATCCCTCTATACATGTGGAAGTTTTGCTCCGCACAAGCATTTTTCAATGAGTTCTAAGTGTGACCTTGACCTTTGACCTAGAGACCTGGTTCATGTGCGCGACACTGCTCCTCATAGTGGTGAACAATTCTATGAAGTTTCATTAAAATCCCTCCATACATGTAGGAGATATGCTCCGGACAAAATTGGACGCCGCCCGCCCGACCGCCCGCCCGCCAGGGGCGTTCCCATAATACGTCCCGTTTTTCAAACGGGCGTATAAAAATTAATTATTATATACATACATATTTATGTATCAGTATCAAGAAAGCAGTCAAATGTTCTATATTTTGCACAACATAATGATCTTGTAAAATTAATGTTACTTTAATGGAAAGACAGCAATTTGAAATCTGAAGTCAATCCCTTTGAAATCAAAAATGATCAAAGCAAAAATAATTTAAAGTTTTTTAAGTAAAATTATTAGTTCAAAGTGGAAAAAAACTCTTTAAAAAGAAGCTAGAGTTATGCACCTCGTCATGCATGATGTGAGTAATGACAAAGAACAATTATTTATCTTAAGTCTAGAGTAGATACCATTTATAACAACAAAGATAATACTAAAAAATCAATTTACAAATGAATTTAAAAAATTAAATGGGGATAATTCTGGGAATACCTGAGTTTGCGTTGTATAACTTTCTTATCCATATGACAAGAAGTTTTAGTAAATAAAAAAAATTGTTAACATAAATTCAAAGTTCAAGGGGGAATAATTCTGGAAGTAGTAACGCTAGAGTTTCGTACCATGTCACACAACGAGTAATGATTAAGAAATAATATCGGTCTTAGTGGTGTTTATTGGCTATTTAACACCGTTTTGGAGTTTTGATGCATAGGAATTGACCACGAAAGCTGAAGGAACATATATTTTAAGTTTGGAGTTGATACCTTAAGTATTTTACTGCACCAAAACTTTAAAGGGACTCCACTGAGGTTTAAAAGCCTAAAAACATAACATTAGAATTTCTTACATAAATGAACTGGGGCGCTTTAAACAGAAATATATGCAAAGATAGTTAAGAAATATATTTTAAAATAAATCAAAAATCGTAGTTTTATGCTTTTCTTAGCCTAATTTGAGTGAAAAGCGTTTAAACGCTTTTCATTTTGGGTCATTGTTTTACAATTTGAATAGTTATTATGGAAAAACAAATTGCGAAAGTTTGCACAAAGATTCGTGGTCTACACATTCATCAAATGGTACATTTATCTGGAAAAAATATGTTCAGTCCCATCATGTCAAAAAACCTCAGTGGGGTCCCTTTAATCTGAAATCTGGACGCGGACGACGGGGCGGGTAGGATAGCTCTCCATATACTTTGTATAGTTCAGCTAAAAATGATTATCAAATTAGTTGGCATTTGTTTTTCGTTTTTGTAAACAGGTGTAATTAATGTCCATCATGTTCTTTAAAAGTTTTGTACACTATCAATTATGACCTTTATTTATGTTTCCAATTTAAACACAGTCAAACATAAAATTTCATGAACTTGAAAGTGGAGTAAGAGAATGTCTCACACCTAAAAAATGAAATAGAAATAAAAAGCAAATGCGAAACTGTCCTATCTGGCAATTTATACTCCATCTCTTACTGAATAATTAGAAATGACAAAATGTTGCTCTATCTTAAATTAAATAAGAAAAAAAACATGCTTTTGTTCTATCAAAATGTCAATTGGAACCTTTTCGCTTTGAACATAAAAATCAAAATATGAGAAATTGTAAGTGTATGGAACAGAATTAGTGCATTTATTCCATCTTGCTTTATTATATCGGACTTACATTATGCTTGCTTCTATACTTCTTTATGACAATGAAAACCTGCGATTTGCTGAATTCAATGATGCCTTATGATTACTGAATGCACTTTCATGTAATTGCAACCTTATGTGTTCCCTACTAAACCGTCAAACTCACATATTTTTATTTGCTATATGTTTAATTGCATCTTTTTTTAAGGACAGCGTATTATGTTTGGTGTTTAAGATTACATTCTTTGCTTGTTCTTGATATAACTATATGTAACATGGTAAGTTTCTATAAGTTCCTTTAATTTGCTATAAATCTGCCACTTACATTGTCGACATTATGTCACAATAAATTATTAATTTTGATCAATAATTGGCGAATTTGATGTGTCTTAGCATTCATATGCTTCAATATATTCACTGATTACAAATATAATGCAATACATGATCACTGCGCATCGACAACGAAGATGACAACGATAGCGATTTTATAGTCGCATGTGACAGTTCGCACTAAGCAGTTGGCAGTAAGCATAATGCGAGTTGCAATAATTTGTATTCATATTATGACAGCAGGTGTCGTAAACAAAGTTACGTCCCCTTTATATAGGTGCGTATACAGAACAGTGTTAGTTGGGGACTGACATGAAAAGGGAAAATTTACTGAAAAACAAGAGAACAAGATGCGACAGACGAAAAGTGCATGTTTTTGAAGATTCCGCCAGCATGTGGAAAAAAATGTTATAGATGTATCTTATAACTCATCCTACAAGTGGCAACTCACCTCTTATACAATTGTTTACACTTCTTTTTGAGCGTGTGTGATAGTCGTATGAGCAATAGTGAAATTCAATTTTAAGATATACTATGCTCAAACTTACGGTGGCACAAAGTTGATATGTCTGCGTTTTTATTTATCTCGTGCGCACAATATACTGTGTCGTGGCCACGGGTTACTAAGTCGTGGCCACGAGATAGTTAAGTCGTGGGAACGAGATACGATGTTGTGGCCACGAGTTATACAAAGTCGTGGCAACGAGATAATTAAGTCGTGGGAACGAGATAACTAAGTCGTGGCCACGAGTTATACATATAGGTAAATGACGTTAACATTTTAGTATTCCAAATGGCTTGTTCCAGTTTAATAGTTATCACTCAATGAAAGAATTGGTCACCACGAAAGTTTGAATGAAATAATGAAAAATGGAATCCAGCATAATGCATAAGTTTAAATATCATAAAGCAAGATGGAATTAAGCATAATGCAAGATCAAATGACATGTAGCAAGATAGAATATATTAAGCATATTGCAAGTTCCAATGTCATCAAGAAAGATGGAATCAAGCATAATGCAAGTTCCAATGTCATCAAGCAAGATGGAATTAAGCATAATGCAAGTTCCAATGTCATCAAGCAAGATAGAATAAATGCATTAATTCTGTTCCATATAAGTGCGAAACAGTTCTAAGTTACATTTGATTAAATATCTTGTTTGCCAAGTCTTTCCTAGAATTTTTATTATCATTGACATGTGTCTTACACATTTTCATGTGTAAAATCAAAGTGTTGTAGAAGTTTGCTATTTTAAAAACATTTGAGACAGTTTTTTTGCTTCTCCTGTAAAATTTTGGAAAATGCACTTAGCACTTTTCGCTTTCACCCCTTGATATATATTTCATTTTGTAAAATGCTAAATATGAGCAAAAACCAAACCTATTGATAAATCCCTACTCTGACCTTTTATTTGAATAACAAAACATTTGACCACAAACATTGACATGTGATATTTTCTTAACAAATATATTGTAGTGAAATTTTAATTGTATCCACTAGTCTGATAATCAAATTAAGGCAGGTCAGGGATCTATGCATTAAACGGGAAAAACATTTTATTTCAAAGAATGAGAACCATTGAACAATAAAAGTGTATATAAGTATTAATTTAAAATTGATGCTTTCACAAAGGCAAACGTCTGTACAGAAAATAAAAGATTAATTTAGATAAAATGAGATATAAATTATCTTACCATGTAACTGTATAAAATAAATCGGTTTTCACATCAAATTGACACCAAAATCTTAAATATGGTTTGAACACTGTAAGCTCTTGATTTAGCGGTTGCTCCGTAAAATTTAATTCCGGTCTGACTGTAATTTTTCCAAAGTCAACATTTTCTGGGGCTGGAAACGGTGTAGTTCTGTTGAGCAACTCATGCTTTTCTGTGTAAAAGAAATATATAGCAAAATTTAAAGTTATTATTTTTAGAATGCCTATTAAAAGTTATATCGAAAAAATGCCTTTTAAGCAGCGCTGATTAAATATACACAATGCTCAAATTTGACATAAGACAACATTATAAACTGTACCCAGTCTTCTTATATATATACCATAAACGTATTTTGACTTCACACGAAGTACTTTTAGATATATATTGTTTAAAACTCTACACATTATAGGTGGGCCCAATATGAATACATTGTATATAGTGTCCTTAAAAGACTGGGACATTTTTTATTCTGATTGGTTAATTATCTCGTGGCCACGACTAAGCTATCTGGTTCCCACGACTTAGTAACATGTGGCCACGACATAGTATCTCGTGTCCACGACTAAGCTATCTCGTGGCCACGACTTAGTAACTCGTGGCCACGACATACTATCTCGTGCAGATGTAAAATATGCATATTACGGCGATTGTAGAAGTCCTTTAAAAGTCTTTTTAACCTGATTGTTTTGTCTTTGCTTAACAGTACTCAATAAGACCTTGAGAGTACCCAGCAATATTGACAGAATTACTATAATTTTTATAAAAAAAAAAAAAAAAGAAAAAAAGAAAAAAAAGGGAAGGAAAGGGGGAAAGAGGAAAGAAAAGTGGAAAAAAGAAAAGGGGAAAAAGGAAGGGAACGATTTTTGGAAAACCTGACACCGTCTTCTCATGCTACTGATAATCCCGCATATGGCGTTTTGTGGGACTCGAACCCACTCCTCTAAAAAGGCATGTCTAGGCTCTTTGTGAATCATGAGTTACACTATCATTAAACACACTAATCCGTAAAAAAGGACACGATATTTTCAAAATGAATGACAGTTTGTTGTTTAAAAATGAACAATAGAACATTATACAAAAAGTTATTGAGAGAAAAAAACGCTGTGATATATGCAAGTGCATTTAGTATTACAATGTTTGAAGTAATGAAAGAAAATTTTAGAAACGATACTATCAAGTTTGCAAGTAAAAGTAAAATATGTGAAAAAGGGGAAACAGATTTATTTATTTGATAATTAATTAAGAACAAAACTTAAGGTTGATATCACAAAAATCATTCAAGTCAGACTCCGATATATTTTCAGATCGATATGTTTAAGAATATTGCAACAGTGAATAAAGTCATGTCGATTCCTTCTAAATTGTTAAAAAATACGTAATAAACACATATTTTAAGCGATATAGCAGAGGAGATTCTCTTAATAAAAAACTTACTGAAAATGAATTAACAACAGCTCTTAAAATATAGGAATGTCAAAAAAGACCAGGATCAGAAAGTTCACAATTCTATAAAATCTGTTGGAATTAAAGATTACTTCATTAACTCTCAAACAATCTTTTGATATTGAATATTGATCTGAATTTCAGGCACAAAGTGTTATAACTCTGTTACCAAAAGAAACAGGATATTCTATTTTTATAGAACATTGGCTTCCAATAGGTATTTTAAATGCTGATTATAAAATAATAGGAAAAAATATGGTAAATAGAATGAAAAAGGTTTTGATCCATACTCATCAATCTTCAATCCTAATAAATCTGTGTCAATGGTAATTTCTAAAAAGATGAATAAACCACACCATCCTCCATCGTCTATGTCTAATGTAAGCATCCCTGTGGTTATATCTCACAAACATCTGGGCTGTTTTCTTTCAGAAGATGCTTCCTGGCATGAACTTATTTCTTACATTAAAAACAAGCCTTGGTCACGAATAAATGTTATGAGACGTCTTAAGTATTTGCTTGATCGTAGATCATTGGAGGTTATATATTTTGCTTTTATTCGACCAGTTTTAGAATATTCTGATGTAGTTTGGGACAACTGTTCAAACTATGAAAAGGAAGAACTCGAAAAGATACAGCATGATGCTGCAAGAATTGTAAGTGGATGCACTAAACTTGTTTCCATATCGGAGCTCTATCACGAAATATGCTGGGAAAGTCTTGCTGAGCGCCGTCGTAAACATGAATTAATTTTATTCTTTAAGATGGTAAATGGGATTTCTCCTGAATATCTGTGTAATCTTGTTCCTAATACAGTAGGTGAAACAAGTCAGTATAATCTTCGTAACTCAACAAATCTCCAAATTATACCTACAAGAACTTCTCTATGCGCTAATTCTTTTGTTTCTTCAACATTTAAAAGAATGGAATGAGCTACCACTCAATGTAAGAAATGCAAACTCATTAAACAACTTTAAGTCTCTCCTAAATCAGGGAAGTAGCAAAAGCAATTCTTTATTCTATTACGGTGACAGGAAATATCAAATACTTCACACGCGACTCCGGAGAAATTGCAGCTCTCTCAATCAACATTTATTTTTAAAGAATATTGTTCAATCGCCCCTTTGTCAGTGTGGTGAAATTGAGCCAACCTACCACTATTTTTATGAATGTCAAAGATTTGATAACATAAGACGTATTCTGTTTAATACAGTATCAAATGTTATAGCTCCTTCATTAGAGATCATCTTGTTCGGAACGGAATCCAAATCAATTGAAGCAAATTAGATTATATTTTCTGCAGTTCATAAATATATCAAATTAAGTAAGAGATTCGAAACATGATTTATTGAAACATCTTGCACTCATTATCACAGTCGGTTTTTTTACCATTAAATTTGTATTCTCCAGAACCAGCCAAAGCAAGTCAGTTCTTAATGTGCTAGGATAACGTTATAATTACAACTAATTCCCCCAATTTATTATATATGTCTTAATATGTATGTATCCTTAACGTTTTGTTTTTCTCTAACATATGTATATCTAATATATGTATATGAATTCATACACATTGTCTCAGTAGATTGATGTTAATTCAAAATAGAGTCGGAGGAGAACTATATAAGATTTTATATCTTTCGTTCTAATCCATTTCATCATTGTATATATTAAAGAAGAAGAAGAAGAAGAAGAAGAAGAACGTTTATTTCACTTAAACTACAAGTTTCTCGTGATTAACATATATACAAGCATACATATATAATGACATGAAAAATACAATGACATGAAAGTAAACGTAATAATTATATTGGATGGACAAAACAAAATAGAGATGACACAAATATTAAAGCATAATGGATATTACATACACAGTAGTATACACAATAAAACTTTTCATTAGTTGGATCTGTTAGGTATACATAAAAGTAGGTTGAAATACATATTAAGCATTAATAATCTGATATCTTAATTTGAAAGCTTCATTAATATATTTACAAAGCATAATTGTTTCTTTATTTTTATCACTTTTTAATAATTGAGTAAACTTATACATACTTGGTCTATTTCTATAATAATTCTTAATATATATATTTTCTTAAATTTTCATATGCAGGACACTTAAACACAAAATGGAACTCGTCCTCAATTTTCATTTGTATTGCAAATTAAACAATATCTTAAATTACGCTCTACTCTTTCACGTGAATATCTACCTGTCTGTATTCTAAGATTATGAGCTGAAATACGCAGTTTTGTCAAAGCTATTCTTAGTTTTCTTGATACAATATTTTCTAAATAAGGTGACATTTCAAAACTGTCCTTTACTGATTTATATAAAAATAATACATCATTACAATTAATACTAGCTCTCCATTCTTGTAAATATTCATCTATTAATCTCTGTTTAAAAACGACAATAAAACAATTTTGATTAACGCTTAAAGGGTTTAACCATACATCAAAAAAACCGTATTTTTCTAAAAGACTTCGTACATTTGCAAACCAGTTTGTATACCCTATATTTATATCAGACATACATGAATTAACAATTGTAGTTATAATAATATTACTTGAACTTATTATCTTAAACCAAAATTTTACAATTCGGACATATCTGTTTATATACAACGGATATCTTCCAAGTTCACCATACACAGCTACGTTACTAGTAGATTTTCTAACACCAAGAATAGTTTTACAAAATTTCAAATGAATATTTTCTAACTTTTTTGATTTGTGAAAACCCCATACTTCACTTGCATACATTAAAATAGAACCAATAAGAGAGTCGAACAACTGTAGGGCTATTTTTGGTTTTGTTTCATATTTTTTCAAATTTGCCACTAAATTATTTAGGGCTTTTAAACTTTTACCATACAAAGTTTGAGTATTTAAGTTAAAATTTCCTGTATAATTCAATGTGACACCTAGATAATTAAAATCATTTACGATTTCTATATTATCTTGACCATATAACCAGTTTTCTCCTGCTCTTAAACCACCCCTCTTACGAAAAACAACGATTTTGGTTTTGTTAACATTAACTTCTAATCCCCATTTATTACAGTATTCATGAAGCTTATTTAATGAATTTTGGAGATCTAGAGGATTTTCATCAATTAATACCATATCATCAGCAAATAAAAGTAAAATTAGGCAAATGTCTTGAAGATCTATACCAGAATTTAAGTTATTTTGCAAATAGAGTTCTAGATCTTCAATAAACAAGGAAAACATAACTGGGGAAATTATCTCCCCTTGACGTAATCCAATCGAAATATCGAAAAAATCAGAATAGTTACCACAGGACTTAACACAAGATTTAACAGAGCTGTACATACTTCTTATTATTCTTAATAATTTACCATTTAAACCAGCATAATACATCTTAAACCAAAGTGCATTCCTGTATATAGAATCAAAACAGCGTTTTAAATCAATAAAAGCACAATACAATCTTTTTTCTGGTTCAAATATTTTTCAATTATAGAATGCAATATAAAAACAGCTTCTGTAGTCGAACTACCTTTTTTAAAACCAAACTGCGCATCAGAGATAATATTATTTTCATCACACCATTTAGTTATTCTTTGATTTAAAATACTAGTAAACAATTTACCAAGATGGCTTAATAAAGTTATTCCTCTGTAATTTTGTACATTTTCTTTATTTCCCTTTTTATGTAATGGTATTATACAACCTCTTGTCCAGATTTCGGGGAAAATGCCAGATTCTAAAATATTGTTAAATAGCTCTGTTATATGTCCAGACAAAATATCACTTGCTTCTATAAAATATTCGTTTAAAAGATTATCTATCCCGGCCGCTTTATTTCGATTAAGCATAGAAATTGCCTTAAGTACTTCCTGTAAAGTAATATTTCCATCTAATTCAGAAAAAACAGGGTTAAAATCATTAAAATCATGGACATTGTTAAAATCTTCTGCTCTTTCATTCAAGGAAAAATTTACTTCAGAAAACATAGTTTCAAAATAGGTTTTAAAATCGTGCAAAGGTATTTCACAATCATTGCGTCTCTGTTTCTTTTTAAAATAACGCCAAAAAATCACGTGGTTACTCTTTTTTTAAATTCTCAAAATTTTTAGTTTGTTGCCATTTAAAAGAACGACGTTTTTTCTTAACACATATTTATACCTAGCTTTACGTTGAACTAATTCTAATCTATCAGTCTCTGTGTGTGACATATTAAACTGTTTTAATGCATTTTTGTACAATTGTTTTGTTTCCTTACAATCAAAATCAAACCATTTACAGGAATCATCAATTTCAGTTACATCAAATCTTGGAAATGTACAACCATGTTTTAAAAATAGAGGATCTGCCACTTCTCTCACAGCACTTGTGAATAAATTCACCGTATTATTTACACTATTTACATCATTTACATTACAATTCAATAATATATCATTTAAAACAGGCAATTTTGCTATAAGTCCAGAACGATATAATTCTTTATCATTATCACTCCATTTAATATACTCGTAATCAGATACTTTTGAACCATTTGCGTTAACCGAGTTACACAAAATATCAAAATTTAAGGCAGCATGGTCGCTGAATTCATTAAAATCACATACATGAAAATTGTTTATCATTTCAAAATCTTTTTCACACAATAATAAATAATCTATTAAGCTAGCACCATTATAATTATAGCATTATAGCATTATATTAAATGATTGTATATTATGTACTGTGTATGATTATGAATAAAATATGTTTAAACTAATCAAAATCAATCTGAGCTCATGAAGGATTGAAATTGTACAGAAAATAGACGGACGATTATTAAAGTATTTGAACAGATGGAAAAAAGGAATAAAAGGGCAGTTTTGTTTTCTACGAATTGCAAAATAGCCTTTGGCAAAATTAATCATAACTTTATTTTTTAAGCTTTGTATTTATTTTAATTTTGGCATTACAATAACACTGAGAATAAATATTTTATATCAAGACCAACAAAGCTTGTATCAGATGTTTTAAGGTATATAAAAGTGTACGCCAAAGATGTCCACTTATTAATATATTTATGATATTCAACGAACCCATCTCAATGAAAAGGGGGCATAAACATAAATGATATTGAGGTTAAAAATGCGTTATTTGCGATCGATGTTACCTTTGTAATAGATGGAACGAAATAAAACGTATATGTCTATCCTCGATTCTATCAATTACATTTCAGTGCTACCATTCGAAATATGTACAGCTGTAAATGTTGCTGGATTTTATTTTTGTATGCGCGCGCGTATGTGTGTGCGTGTGTCCGTGCGTGCATGCGTGTGTTGGTGCGCGCGCGCGTGTGCGTGTGTGTGTGTGTGTGCGCGCGCGCGCGCATGCGAAAAAATGAATTAGATATAAAAAAGATAGGAAAAGGTTATTTTATTTCATTTATATTATACATTTATAACTGTATTTTGAATAGTATAGTTGTGTGCTTCATGTTAATTTTCCCTAAGACGGGGCACGTTGGTGACTTTTTTACAAATGTCCAATGCACAGTTACCATTGCTGGCTATTGAACGACATCACTGAACTGTCACTTGAACAACCGTTAAAGATTATCTAAATTAATAATTTTTAAGTGACTTACAAGAAGAATCAGAAAATAGTGGGGGGTTACGAGAAAGTCTCAGCCTGTTCTTAAATTTGTATTCAAACAAGGTTTTTCTGCTACAACATATTGTATCATACTTACCGAAACAAAAGCCACTCATCCATACAGTTGATTTCAAATTATATTGAATTTCATCGTTGCATTTTCTTATTTGAATTTTATACTTTGTTTTACAAAGGCCAAGGGCATCAAGGACACAAGCAAAAGCATCAGTTGGATCCTCTCCAAGATCGTTCAATGGTACATGTTTTTCTGAAATTTTAAGTATTACTTTAAATAAATATGAATACTAATTTTGTTCAGGACCAGGGACTTTGCTAGACTTACATTTCAGATGAATACCATTGTAATGCCATAATACTTTGCCGGCTCTTCGCAATGTGCTCTTTTTCAATAATAATACGTTTCTTGTTTATACTTTTTTGTTCGGTTGAGCTGGAAGCTATAACATGTAATCCGTGCCAGGATCCCTCATGTACTTAACAATGACGATAATGTTTTGGTCAAGGACACAGATGTTTGATCATGACATAATTTAAAACCATGAAGTTTTTTATTTGATCTGAATGTTGATGACACATGTATCATCTTTGACAACTCCATTATTCGTTAACTGATACACTGGAATTAACAACTGCTTTATATAAGAAATAATTAAGACTTTTCAACATACTACCGCTATCATAAAATCTAGTTTAATATTTTAACTTTATATATAAATCGTATAAAAATATTAAGAATTATATTCTACGTTTGGAATGAATGGTTCACCTTTTAAATAGATAGGCCAGTATGTAGAACATCCCAAGACGCTTGGTTTATTGGTAGAGTCAGCCATAAGGTACTGCCAACCGTAAAGCGTTGCACTATACCATCTCGATGAAAGGCTGTTATCATTTACCGCGCGACTTTTATCACTGGAGTTGAGACGTACCTCAGAACTCCGAAATTCTAAGTTGTCGAGAAGGCGGACATTTTCATCGCAACAATCTGTTTAGAATAAATAATATGTAGCAACAAATATTAGACAATATTCGTAACGCATTTTTGAGGTTTCATATTATAAACCTGATATTCAAATATAGATTTATCAACAATGTAATTTTTCAATGATTCTTCTTATCAAGGAACACGTTCATTTTGTTCATTTTAGAATCAATCAAATAATGATTTTGGTTTTCGAAAATCATTATCTGAGTTGACAAAAATAGAAAAATGTATGAAAAAATAGAACAAGAAAGGTTTGTTCCCTGTTGGGTTGAACCCCTGCCTCGTAAATAAATATTTTTCCGACAGAAAATGTATGCTCTAATAGTTCTTTGTTTGGCATATATTATCAAATATAAATAATCAAAGCTGTAATTCCTATCATATGACCATTATGTTACAGTATATATATTATTTTTTGATTCACTTAAAGATGATTTGTAATGTGGAGGTTTAAAGAAGAAATGAAAAATGTAATATGAATAAAAAATAAAAATAAATCAATAAATTTAATTAAAAACTTGTTAAATCTACTGTTTTGTCATAACTTTTTTATTACAGTTTTAGGATACAAAAAAAT